CGATTTGGTACTCAATGGTGCTACGCGTAATCTGTGATGACGGGGTTGTGTGTGCATGGTTTGCAGTGGTATCTTAGTGGTGGTTTTTGTTGGTTTTGTTGGTTTTTGGAGTGACGGTGGTTTTTTTATGTTTTGTTCCAGAGGTAGTTTTTGTTGACGGTGGCGGTGGCGGTGGCGGTGGCGGTGGCGATGGCGATGGCAATGTTGTGGTGGTAGCAACAGTGCGAGCGATGACGTCGCGTGATGAGTGGGATAAAGAATGTTTGTGACCAAATATTAGTGATGAATTTGGATAGAGGGTGAGGATGGAGTGTTTGGTATATATGACCAATTATTTCGTTGTGACTTAAAAATTCAATAAGTTCTGACTGAAAAATAATTTTGTGACCAACTAATCTTCTTATAATTTGAAGTTAAAGTCGAATAGTAATTTTATTTATATAATCCCAACCATTACTTAATTATTATTCACATATACTGAAAGGCTCATTACTCTTTTCATTAAAATTCCATTATAATTTATCCCAAATATGTACAAAATTTTTACATGAATGAGATTGCATAAAAAGTTAGATAGTTATGCAACTTGGCGAACCCCTATCTAATTACTATCCGTGCCATTAGTCATGCAAGTAACATTCGTATGTGTAGTTCATATGTCTAAATTAGTTAATCGTTTCCCACAAAGTTTTAGAATTCTCCTTGGAGGATATCAGGAAGATCGAGAAATTTTTAGCACTCACAATATATGGGACTTCGTACTTTCTACTACTATTAATTTACATGTGCACGTATAGATAACGAGTCTCAATTATTTAATAAACATTAAATAGTGATAAAAAATATTGAATATTCTATTAAGGGATAAAATTTCATATCAAATGAAAATGAAAATATAGACCAACTCATAAGGTTTTAGACTACTCCTATTAACAAGGTTTATCTTTTAACATGGAACCCTAATGGTATCAGTGCTCATTAAACTCCAACAAGCCATTCGATTTGATTAAAACTCAATAAATGAGCATACAAATTTTAAGATTGATCTGTTCAAACGAGCCACCATCTTGCAGGGACATGTTAAGGAATAGAATTTCACATCGAATAAAGAGGAAAAAATTAACTAACTTATAAAGTTTTGGACTACTCCTCTTAATAAGGTTGACCTTTTAAGATGAAATTCAAAGTCTTTACATGGTATCAGAGTCCATTAAATTCCAACAAGTAATTCAATTCGATTAAGACTCAAAAAATGATTACAAGAATTTCAAGATTGGTCTCCTAAAATTAGTCACCATCTTACAGGGGCATGTTAAGGGATAAAATCTCAAATCGAAGATATAGACCAACTTAAAAGGCTTTGGGCTACTCCTTTTAATAAAGTTGGTCTTTTAAAATGGAACCTCAAGTTTTAATGTATTCTATATTTTGAGAATCGATGAATTAAATAAGGATTAAATTAGAGATAATACATTGAGGTAATCAATAAATCAACATGTACGTAGTTGCCTAGAGAGAACGAAATACTGGAATCGAAGCTCTAATTTTTCGATTAAACTCTTGACTTGAGATATTCAAGTCATCGATATTAGGACTACATATTCTATATTAACTCTTGCACCGATGATTAAATATCTAATTTCACGATTCTAATAAACAATATAGAGTTAATAATCCTAAGATCAAGAGACTAGAAAATATCCGTGTCAAATATTTAAAACTCGGGATAGGTACAAAATGGCTATTTTAATAATTTAGTTATATCTTTCTCCTTCGGCCACTTTTTTTTCTAGTCTAAAATGAATTTTGATAGAACACAACACTACTAAAACGATTTTTCGACAACTGCATTCTAGTCGAATTATCCCTTCTTCATTAGATTTGTCGGTGGCTTAACATTCTTTTTGAAATGTCAAAAATGTCATGTAATACCAACTAAAGCTCGAAACCTCACTCAAGGATTTAACATTTATATGAGATTTTGGATAATTTGGCAAACTTTTTTCCAAACTACTAAGAGAAATGCCTTCATTTATTTATTTATTTATATGTATATTAAAATTTTCCATTACAAAAAAATATTTTTACAGCACTTATCTTTACATACAAAATAAATTGAGAGGTTATTTACCAAAGGGACAAGAAGATAATCTGAGAAGCCAAATTCAAACTTCTGTCACGAATATTGATAAATACATCGACCATCGTGCAATAAAATCCGTCTCAGTGCAAAGGCCAAAATAATAATAATAATAATAATAATAATAATAATAATAATAATAATATAGAGAGAGAGAGAGAGAGAGAGAGTAATTGATAATAACAATTCTAATAAACACTCTACAAAATATCATTTAAGAGAATATTTAACGGCCTGTTTGAGCCCCATTATTTTCTAATAGTACATTTTAGAATAGTAGATTGATAAAAAATGTGTAATTAAAAAATAAGAAAAAGTTTTGAATTTACGTATGATATTATTTTAATAAAAAATGTGTGGTTAAAAAGAAGAGAGAGAAAAATGTATATTAAAAAGAACGATGATCAAACAAGAGCTAAGTGATATACATAAACATTTATTTAATAAATTAAAATTTTGGAACAAGTGAGTTAACATTGTATCTTAATAGACAAATGTCTTAGATTCAAGTTTCATGATCACTCATTTAATGAAATTGTTCGTATGCTAGACTTTAATGAAAGAAAGAAAGTGAACACCACCTACTTAAGCCTTCGAATGCCAAGCACAATCCGACCGTAGGCCCTAATTTTTTCTAAAAATAATGTATTATTAACAATAACAGAGTATTTACTACTGGGACCATTATTCATCCTACAGAAACTCCATGGACCATCTTATGACAAAAAGAAAAGCACATGGACCAATTTGAAACATTCAGAAAGTTTAGGACAACAATGAGAAATATCAGGAACCGAATCATAAAGACCAAGTTAAACAGTCAAAATAGTTCGTGGGCAGAAATGGAATTCTTAGAAAATGTAAGAGCTATTCTTTAGAATGCCGAAAATTCTAACGTGTAAATTTATGAAATGTATTACTTTCGAGATAGATAAAAACTACAAAAACTTGGAGGGCTACGTGTAGAATTTATATAAGAATGAGGATCCCTTCACAAAATTATTTTGGTGATCTAAACGAGGAACAACTTGCAAAGAGGATTTTTCGCTATCTAAAAGACTATATGTGAAAGTTGTTCACAAAGCTTTGTTAGGGTTTCTTGAGTTTGGAAGGAAAATAAAGAGAATTCGAGCAATTTCGTAAATCAAAGTAGTGGGTTTTGGAGACTGCTTGGTAAAGAAATGGGCTAGACCTCCATTAGCAAGAAGTCAATCGAGCATAGAGGTACCACGCACAAATATATAGCCTGAGTTCAGGGAAATAACGACACCATTTGATCCAAGACCTAATTATGACAACATTGAAGATAATGATCCTCGAACGACATTAATGATGAGCCTGTTGCATCTCTGATAACTTGAACAACAAGTTGGACGTAGTTTTTTAGAGCGCTGCTAGCCTTGGTCAAGTAGTTTTTTTTTTTTTTTTTTAAAGCTTAAGCCTAATCTTTCTTTTTGTACTTTTTTCCTTACCTTATTTATAAAACGTGTCATCTTCTGTTGTCAACCTTTATAAAAAATTGTATAATAAGATTTTATTGTAGCCCTATGTACGAGCCCATGCATAAGGCTACGAGCTTTTAACCCTAGGCTCAATCTCATCTATGAAAGTTGAAGACAAGTCTTAATCGATCTTGACCCCTAAAAATCAGTACTCAAGCCACGCTAAGAGTAGGATGTTTAGGACCAAGTCAGGGGGCATACTTATTGTCATTCTTACATGTGAGACTACGTGTTAAAAATAATATTCAAAAACATATGCATGATATGTTTTACATGAACATGTAGAATTTTTTTTTTTTTTTTTTTTTTTAAATTTTTCTATTGGCTACATAGTCTTTTTAATAAATACTAGTTCCATCATAACATTTACATCAATAGACAATAATGAAGTAATAATACGAATCTATAATGGTATTGGTGGATTAAACACATGTTCGGCTCAAATTAAAATAAGCAAAAGATTAAGCTCTTGTAATGTGAGGATTAAGTTCCTGTTTGGCCCGATTAAATTTCATTTCATTTCTCTCTCATATTTTCAACTACATAATCTTTCATAAAATAATATTACACGTAAATCGAAAATTTTTCTTTCTTTTTCAACCACTCATTTTTGAAAGACATTATTCTTTCCATTACATTTTCAAAAAATGGGGGCCAAATGGGCACTAAAATCAAATTTTTCGTAGATTTTGATAAAAGTTGATAAAATGTGTGGTTGAAAAGTTGTGAATCCCATAAAGCCCCCACTTGGACTCCATTTCTATAAAAAAAACTACATTTTTCTCTTTTTTATTTTCAATCATACATTCTTCAATAAGATAACATGACACGTAAGTCTAAAATATTTTCTTATTTTTAAACAACACATTCTCAAAAAAACAAAAAAAAAAAAAGTAAATAAAAAAAAATCACTCTTCCAAAATACATTATTTTCTCAAATTGAGCCCAAACAATGAGAAAATATGTAACTAAGCCCCCATTTGAACCCTATTAATTTTTATTCCATTACATTTCATTTTTCTCTCTTTTATTTTCAACCACGCAATCTTTCATAAATAATATTATACGTAAATCGAAAACCTTTCCTTTTTTTTCAACAACTTATTTTTCAAAAAAATACTATTCTACTCATTTTTATTTTCACAAAATGGGGGCTAAATTAGTTGACTAATTTTAATTACTGGCTACGTAATTTTTTATTTTTTAAATGTTAGAAAATTTATTTTTATCGTATTAAAATTATTAATTTGAAAAAAAGACAACCTTATTTTCCCTCCCTCCAACCCTTTGACTTCTGCATTGTAGTAATCTTGCCAAAGAATGTGTTTGGTGAAGACAATCTGTCTATTAGTATTTGTTTTGTCAGCACAAGAAAACCAATGTCTTTTCCCGCTCCTCCTTGAATTTCATTTTACTTTGATCCCTTCTTCGTCTCGAAACTAGAGGGGCAAAGTTTGTGTCTCTTCGTATCTGTTTTGTCAAGAAAATTCATACAAAAGTGAAAATTTTACATTCTTATTAGATATATTTTGTAAAGATGGAGGATGCAGCAGAAAGTAGAGTAGGTAAAGTGAAAGAGAATGAAAAGGGGAAGGGGGTTGTGGTATTGGTGATGGAAACCCCGGATAGGAGCAAAAACAATCAGACCACAACCTCCACGACCAAATTCGAGGTGTGATTTGCATATTTTTTTCTACTTATGTATAATGGGTGGTGATTTGACCTTTATTTGTGTTAATAGATGTTGGATGTGATGTGTTTTTCTTCTATCAAACCTTTGTTCTTTTTCCTTTTTTTTTCTTTTCTCTTTGTCCACTCGAGTTGGGTTATTGATACTTGATTAGTGTTCCTTTTTTCCCCCTGCTCGCTGGATAGGGTTCGGAATATGGGTTTTTAGTAATTTGGTTGATGGTTTAGTTATTTTGAGGGCTTTCTTTTGTTCGGGAGTTGTGTTTATGTTGATATACATTTGTTTTTTTGTGATTCTTACTGAAAAAGAATTGGAAAGAGGGTTTTCAATTAATTGGTGAAAATCTGTTTCTTAAAGGGTGTTCTGAGTTATAGTTCTGTTTTATTAGTCGTTGATTTGTGGGAGAAGTTATCAGAAAAATGTTCTCTCAATGGAGTTTTGTCTGGAGGTGTTGTAAATATTTAATAATTGGCTTAAGAAGTGACTTTTAGTTGATGTTTCAAACATGTTTTTTACTTTATTTTCTATTTGGGGTTTTGACCTTGTTAATTGATCTTGGATTTGTGGAATCTGGCGATTGAGAAAGTTTCTTTTGACGAAATCCTCGTTTTTCTTCTTGCTCTATTCATTGTAATTCTTGACTGATCTTGAATTATAAGTAAACTTTCAAGTGTAGGGAAGCCGCTGTAGATCGTTGTTTTGTTTATTTTTTGATGATTGTGTATTGAATCCCTTCCGTTTTATGCGTTCACTGAACTATAGGTTGTGTGTAATGCATATTCTGGAAGGAGTGTAGGAGTTTTCTTTGAATAATTTGAATTAAGCAATTGTTATTTCTGGCTTGTATGCTTTTATGGGATTGTCTGCAGCAATACAAGTTTACAAGTTTCACACAGAAGTTCTGATAAATTTTGCGTAAAATATTTGAATTATAAGAGTTGTCATGAATGATCTATGGTAGTCAATTGACCATTTATTTTTCATATTTGATGAGTGGAAAAAACTGGACAAATCAACTTTTGATATCAGATGAATTAACTGGATATGTGGTAAGACTTTTTTTCTAGAGCTATAAGTCAAAAACATATCAATTTGAGCTAACATCAATCCATATTTCAGCACTTGTTCTCCATCTCATTCTCATGTGAACGTTGCAGTGTATTCTTGAACAGCTTGTTAGTAAGGTCGTATTCACTTGTTTTATCTTATTGACGGTGCTCATAATGAAAAATTTATTACTTTGTTAGTTGTTTTATTTCTGATGATTCAAATTTATGGGGTTTATTTGTATTTAAATTGATTTTAGTTAAATTATGCTTTCCTCCAGTTCATTATTCTTCCAGGTTTTTTCTCTTAAGAGATGAACTTGTTAGTTCATTCTTCTTGTTTATTTCTCTTTTTGATAATGTAAATTCACACGGCATATTTGAACTGAAGTTATTGTTTGGCCTATTGCACTGTTATTTTAGGCTTTCTCTTTTCGACATTGAAAAGCTTTTTCCCCTTGCATGCAGGACTCTCCAGTCTTTGATTTTCTCAACAGTCTTTCCCCCATCGAACCAGTTAAGCCCATGCACATTACTCAGACGATCAATCCTCTTAGTTTTGCATCGATTCCATCAGTTTTCACTTCCCCCCATGTCAGTTCCTTGAAGCGTTCTAGATTCCTGAGAAGGTAATACATTTACTTGTTCATGAGCTTCTGCAATTTTTACTCCTACCATCTTGTCCTGCATATATTGCATAGCATTTTTATATCAATTTAGTCTCTTTACAGGCATCAGCTTGCAGACCCATCAAAACCCGAGTTTTCTACAGATGGTGGAAAGACAATTGATGCAAATGAGTTAATTCTCGATGCTTCTAGTAAATCAGACAAACCACATGGAAATCTTAATCCGGAGGACTCTGTTGATGAAGCAGTCAGTCAGTCATCTTATGAATATTCAAAGCTTGATGTTGAGCTTAGTCAAAGTGTTGTGTATGATTCAAGATGCCCTCACTCCAGCTTAACATCTAGCTATTACCTTAGTGCCAAACATAGCACTGAATATGGTTGCACTTCTTCAACGTTTGCTCCATTTATTCAAGAGGCCTCTCAGAAAGCTTTTTATGCAACTGAGGAGAATGAGGAGGGCGTTGACCAAATTGAACAGGATAAAGAGGCCACAGGATGTGACTGGGAGAGTTTTATTTCCAATGCCAGTGATATATTAATTTTTGAATCGCCCATTAACACAGAGTCTTGCAAGAAATCAGCAGAATCTGGTGAAAGTTTCTACGCTAATGTTAGTAATAATGTGCAGAATAAACTCTCGTTCAGTGCAGCAGGTTCGAGTGAACAAGTTGGAGAGGGAAGTGGTAGTGGAATTGAAAAACTATCCAATCAACTTGGAGAAGGAAGCGAGCTGAAGGAAATTGCTAAGACCCATGACATAGTTACGGGTTCTTCTACGAGCAATCAGAGTGAGAACATGGATAATGAGGTACAGAATTGCATTTTATTTACCTGTATTATGATTACCTTTTGTTTACAGAGACATAAATTATTAGTTTCTGGACATGTATGAATGAGTGTTTTTATGCATGTGCATATAAATATTATTAACTGCTAATTCTGGGGAGTTTTGAGATGTTTTAATTATTCATTTCATAATGTGGTTTTCATTCTCTATTTGTGTAGCCTGATTCTGGTTTGCATCGTGGGGTGAGAAGGCGCTGTCTGGTTTTTGAGATGGCGGGAAACCTCAAAAAGCATTTGGACGAGAATTCAGCTTCTGATTCTTATCTGTTGATGCAATCTGATGGCAACACTTCATCCGGCAATGGGCAACTAATTCGTACAAAAGATAGAAGCGATTCTTCGAAGTGTGTTTTGGCGGGCATTGGCTTGCATTTAAATGCTCTCGCAACAACTCCAAAGGGGTATAAATTTGTTGCCAAGTTTCGTAGTCCAGCTCCCCAAGAAGAATTGATAAACAATTCTTCGGCTGTTAACTTGTTGGAAAGAGAAACTAGTACTGTTGAAAATGGTTTCCCACCTGTGGAAGATGATTCCCAGGCATCTGGATGTATAGTTAATGAAGAGATCACTCATAGTAGTCCAAAGAAGAAAAGGCACGTGCCCCTGTTTAGCGTACTTGACCTGTCATCTTCCAAAATTCCTTTGCATTTAGCTTTCTGTATATAGCTTAAGTTGGATTCTCAGGTCTAAATTGGAACAAGTCAGCGAGGGTGAAGCCTGCAAGCGATGTAACTGCAAGAAATCAAAATGCTTGAAACTGTAAGTTCTTGTATTCTCTCTGTTTACAGAAGGTCTATTAATATAATCACACAGTTTTTTGGGTTGCAAATCGGACACTTAGTTATGATCTGGTTCATGTTAGCCTTAAGAAGTTGACATCTACTGTATCGGGTGGTCTTGTCCTGGTTGGCTTGCGGAGAAGTCTGCATTGAATTCACAATTTTGGTTAGAGCTTTGTTTTAAGTTCTGCTGGTTTGAACTTAAGTCATTCTCAACACTTGATATATCCTTCTACCAGCATATAAAATTCTTGAGATGCTAACCAATTTTATTGTTTTTTAATCATCATCTGAGACTGATCTTGGCTGTTATCGTCTGTCTGTTTAATTGCCATCTCATAAATAGACATAAATGCATTGCTGAGACTTGAAGAACTATTGTCAATCCTATGCCTTGTGGTAGTGACCTTGCACTCTGGGTTTCACTAAGAATGACTACGGGTTTACTCAAAGTCAGACCTGGCATTAATGCACGGCTTAGACTTGGGAAACTATTGTTATGGTATGCCTTGTGTGGCTGCCACATGGAAAACTTTGGAGCCTAGCTGAGCCGCCAAGCCTCTAATTTTACCTATCTTCTTGGCCTCGTAGGCTCAGTAGTTGCCTAGTCTTCTCTAACGGCTTCGTGAAGCATATATATAACTTTACTTGATGATTTTATTTAACTGAACTTAATGCAGTTACTGCGAATGTTTTGCTGCCGGTGTCTACTGCGTGGAGCCATGTTCCTGCATGGATTGCTTCAATAAGCCTGTCCATGAAGACACTGTCCTTGCAACACGCAAACAGATTGAATCCAGAAACCCACTTGCTTTTGCTCCCAAAGTGATTAGAAGCTCTGACTCTTTATGTGAAACTCAGGTTAGGAAATGAATTCTGAAGTTGTGTTTTGCTTACTCGCCAATTGCATACATTTTATCTATGTTGTTTATTTGCAGAGTGACTCCAGGAAAACACCTGCTTCAGCTCGACATAAAAGAGGATGCAATTGCAGAAAATCTGGTTGCCTGAAGAAATATTGTGAATGCTACCAGGTTTATTTACTATTTGAGCATTCCCAGTGCTTTTCTTTGGTTCATTAGCTGACAGATAAATGTCGGTTTCTTTTGAAGAGTGGTGTTGGATGCTCAATTAACTGTAGATGCGACGGGTGTAAGAATGTCTTTGGTAGGAAGGATGGTAAGTTTGCTGTTATAACATGTTTGGTAGGGAGTGTTAATGAAGATAAAAATGCTAATATCTTGTTATGTCCAATACGGCATACCACACATGCACTGAGACTTTTGCTTGAGCATCAAAGAAGAAAGTGGGGATGAGAGCTGGGTGTTAATAGTTATTGCAGTTTGCGACTTTTTTTGAATGCTGAATCAGGCTATAATGTAATAGGCAAAGAAGTTGAATTGGAAGAAGATGGCGGAGATATAACTGAAAAAAGTATGGTGGACAGGAATTCTAAGAAAACTGCAATCCAGAACAATCTAGAGCAGAATCCAGATTCTGCTCTCCCTGCAACACTGGATTCTGCTCTCCCTGCAACACCTTTACAGTGTCCAGGGTAAATAATATCAACAAAATTTTTCGGATTTTTGAGCTTGTTAATCAGAACCGTCTGGTTTAGTGCTGATTTTCATGTTCTGTCAGATCTTCGGTTCAGCATCCATTCACCTCGAAGAACAAACCCCCGATATCTTTTCCTTCTACTAGGTCCTCCTTTGGAAAGACAGGCACTTTTGTATCGCAACCCAAGTTTGATAAGCATTTTGAACCTGTCCCGGAACATGAAATGCCCAAATTTGGTCAAGAGGGATCTCCTAACAGTGGCATCAAGTCATCATCTCCCAACAGCAAGAGAGTCTCTTCTTATCACAGTGGAGCAGAGACGTCCCCCGAGTTGAGGAGCAGCAGAAAGTTGATTCTTCAATCTATCCCATCATTCCCTTCTCTCACACCCAAGGATTAAGATGGGCAAAAGTCCTTGGAACTGCCAAGACTAATGTTTCACTAGATACATTTTCACAGTTAAAGTTGAATTACAATATGAACAAGATGAAAATGTCCTCGACTGAGTTAGCAGTCTTGACATGAGTGTATTAGGAAAAAAAAATCAGTTACATCTTTGTTGTAGTATACCAGTTGTGTAGTTTTACTTGTATTCACTTGAAGCTTGCCCTTCTGCTGTATAATAGTGTTGTCTACATAATTGTCATCAATGTTTTATGACTGAAACATTTTCTATTTGATAACCATACTATGATACAAGTCTTTTACACTCAAGAAAGCACGAAGCCGGTTGTGGAATTAAATTTGTGACTTCTTGTAAGAGAGTAGACAATAAGGGTAGTATTAAGAAAGAAAAAGAATAAAGAAATGTGTAAGGCAGTAGGATTAGGGCTATCTTAGGAGGGTAGCAAAATTTTGATATTGTTGATACTGGCAAAGTAGATTTTGCCCTTGGTTGACAATCATTATTTTCAAACTCTTATTTCTACTTATTGTTTTCAACCAAATATTAATACAATAAAGTATTCTGGATGTAAACCCAAAATTTTTCCTTATTTTTTAACCATACATTCTTCAAAAAATCAACATTCAAAATTTTATTTTTCCCAAATAATGATTGTCAAACAGGGGTTTTATAACTAACTAAATATAAAACTTTTATAGTAACTAGGAAGCATTTATGAAAACTCAATAAATTAAACCATTAGGATTCGAACCTCCTATATTCTTCCATTTTTATAATAATTCAGAAATTGACAACATTTGTTTAGACTTAACGATCGATAATTTTATTTTATTTAATAATCTTTCTCGAGTGATATTAAAATTTTTTAACATATGACCTTATATATCTATATAGAAGATGGGAATGTATGACAATCAATTAAATATCAAGAACTTTCACAATAAGATTATGCAAAGTATTTTGGTACATCTATCCCCTATCAAACTTTACAAAGATAGTTATTTCATGTGATAAATCATATCATTCTCTTGAACAAAATAGAAACCACAAATAAAATAATCAATTTTTGATAGAGTAACTGAAATAAAGTCTTGAAATTAACATGAAAACTTCGAAATATAGGGTTCATCATCATCAATTAGCCGAGCATCATGAATTATGCAAATACTATTATTTGGATTGATAATACATCTCCCGAATTTCAATGGTATAAACGAAAGTGAAAAATAAATTTTGAACTCTTGAATCCTTCAACAATTATTGAATGGTCTTCTTATGTCATCTTCTCTCTCTTTCAAAATCCAAGTAGAAGTATGAAATGTATGATTGATTGTGTTTGTGAATAAAAGCTTCTTCTCTATGTTGTGTCCCCATTTTAAATGCCAGAAAAATCCCTATTTATAGCCCAAAATTAGTTAAAATTCGTATATCATCTTCATGTATTGCAGAAGTTTAAATAGATTAGGAAGGAAAATCTGGACTCAGGGGCGGACCCAGACGACTTGGGTTGGGGGTCAAAAATAAAATTTATAGGGTATCTTCTAATAAAAAAAAACTAAGAAAAAAAAAACTAAGCAAAATTTTTTTCTCCCCAAAATCTGGAGGGTCAATTGCCCATATAAACCATCCCCCAGGTCCGCCCCTGTCTGGACTCTCTAGCCTATGCGTTTCACATGGCTATGGGGATTGTGATCGCATGACTATATTTCATCCTATTGCAATCTTATGACTCAAACCTTGTGATCGCAAGATTTGATATTTTCCACACAGTGTAAGTTGGTCCCCCAGTGTACTCTTTGGTTTAGCTCAAGTCCCTTCTTATTTTGCATCATGGGTCCTTCATCTTTAGTATCTTTGTACTTTAGTCATCCACTTTTATAATTTGTTATCTTTTTAGTCCTCATTATTAGATTTAAGCTCCAATGCATCAAAGTCCTGATTACACTAAATTCAGTAGAATCGGCTCAATTGACAATAATTATCAATAGCATATACTATTATATATCCTAAAACTTAAACTCTTGTTCATTCCAAGCAAGATTATCTATTCAACATAATCAAACAAAAATAGATATCAATTCATTAGAAACTTGTGGCATTGCCTCACATTTATAGAATTGCTTAGTAATTTATAAAAGACTTCTAAGTCATGCTTCCAAAATAAAATTTTACTTATTCAATGGTCGATCAATGTTTGTGCATATTCAATTTAATCACCATAAGCATTTAGATTGATTATATCCCTGACCCTTAAAGATTAATTATTTCATTTCTCTGAATACCTCATATTAAGTGTCAACGTAGGGCCAAGTAGTGAAGTGCTTTTTAATATTGTCATTACTTACACATAAATAGAAGAAAATACACATTTTTTTCTTCTCACTTGTAAGTAGCTACTTCACTCAGACATTGATAACATCAACATCATGCCTTTTTTTTTTTTTTTTCTCTCTCTCTCTCTCTCCATTTTAGGATAGATAGTATCACTCAAACACCATTTTGTCTATACTGATGTAGGTCATGTCTTCCTACATTTTTACATATTTCTTTCTAGACTATTACAATGCCGTTTATTGGAATGATTAATTGAGACTAGACCACTATTTTATGGTTAATACATAGGTTCGACTAGTTAGCCAAAAAGTATTTCACACAAATATTCAATAAGCATAGTATCAACACCTATCTCAACAGCTCCAAATACCAGGTTAATAATCTAATTGGTCACTGAATAATGTAAAAAGTTTCCACTGGGTCACAGAATTTCAAAATTTTAACTGTTAATCACTCAACTATGTAAAATATAATCCCATCCGTCACTCACTCAACGCTGATTTAGAAAATTTGCGAATTTACTGACTTAGCTAACCCACTTTAAACCATTGAGATTTGAAAAAGAATTTTAGGGATGAAGTTCGTACTTTGATTCTTCAACGTTAGAATGTGAATTTCATCTCTAAATTTCAAATTTTGGATTTTTTTGACAAATTTTTGATTTTATAGAATTGTTACAATGCTGCACCGCTCGTTGTATGCCAAAGTGGCACTCAAGCAGTGACAGTGAGCCTTTGCTCGTTGGGCACCAACTTAGTGCTCTAGTAGCGGCAGCATAGTCGCTCACTTGCGTTGCTCCAGTGCTCGAGCTTTGAGAGTAGGGCATCATCACTCACTTGGTGCTAGGTTGGCACTCGAGCGACAGTACTATCCAATCCAGATCACAAATTTTCAAAAAAACATTTTAAAGTGACAATCTATTTCAAATTTGGTAAACTAATTTCATTCGAAATGTCTAATATTCTAAAATGGGTTGATTGAAACATGTTATCAAAGTAATCTCTTTTGTCTAAATTAATTTGTTTGGAATATTTAGATTATTGTATATATGTAATTCATGCTAATATTGACTGGTCTAAAGGAATGTAAATATTTGGGTGTATTACATGCGCACTCGTGGTAATAAAATGTGTGTGTGTGTGTGTGTGTGTGTGTGAATAATTAGTAGATCCAAAGATAGATTTAGTTAATGTCAATATTTGATTACTACATTAAGAGTGCCACTTGTAAGTTGGTATTTCTATCCAAAGTCTAAATATCAATATTATACTCGATCTCTAGTGACAGAGTCTACCATTATTTGAATTTATTAATTGTTTAATATAGATTCTCACATGAACATTTCTTTTTTTTTTCTCGATTTTGTTATCCATTCAGTTCATAATTCTGCCTTTTCAATATCTGTCAACATCAATTCAATTCCCGCGTTTAATGAAACCAACTTTAAGGACTGAAAAGAGAACATTTTGATTGTTCTTGGCTGCATGGACTTAGTCCTTGCATTAAGGACTGAATAACCTGCTGCATTTTTGGATCAAAGTTCCACAGACGAAATATAAAACTTTCATAAGTGAGATTGTTTAAACCGCATAAATTTTATGATCATGAAACGAGAAATTCTAGAATCATTCAAGGGTACTGTGTCCGATAAGGTAACTACTGCCAAGAAATTTCTTGAGGAAATTGAAAAATATTTTGCAAAAAATGATAAGGTTGAAGCTAGTATGGCTGTAGCAAACTTAGTTTTACTAAAATATAAGGGTAAATGAAACATTCAGAGTACATCATAGAGATGTCTCATATTGCTTCAAAACTATGGCACCAAAATTTAAGCTATATGAGATTTGCTCTTGCATTTTATTTTAAACAATTCAATCAATTTAATGTCAGTTACAATTATCAAAAGGAGAAATTGACTCTTAATAAGCTTATTTTATGCTATGTTCAAGGAAAAAAAAAGTTTGAAGCAAGACAAAACGGACGCTGCTCACTTGGTAAGTACCTCTAAATACAAGTTCAAGAAAAAAGAATAAAGAAACTACATTCAATCCAGCTCAAAAGAAATAGCAAAAGCCTAAAAATAATGAATCATGTGGCTATTACATTTGTGGAATTTCGAGAATCCTGAAGAGGGATTGTACCAAATACCACATTCGGCGTATAAAGAAAAGTACGTTTCTCACTTTGATTCGTTATAAGGTTAATTTAGTTTCAATACCTAAACATACTTGATAGATTGATTTTTGGTGTCACTGATCATATAAGTGTGTCTAAGCAGGGTTGCATGAACAGCTGAAAACTAAATGATCCTGAAAGATTCGTCTATGTCGGCAGTGACAAATATTTGAAATTGAGGCTATATGAACTTTTAGATTATTATTAAATATTATTATTTGAATTTGAAAGAGACTTCTATGGTAATGTCTTTTAGACGAAATTTAATTTCTATTTCTATATTGGACTAGTTCAATTTTTCTTGTTTATTTGAAAATAATAAATTTAGTCTTTCTCTTAATCCAAATGATACGGTTACAGGTTTTTTTATCAGTTTATGATAATTTATACTTGTTTAATATGGCTGCATCGTTTTAATGAAACCTTGCATGTGAATTCACGTGGTATTAAGCATTAATTAACCAATGAGAATTTCACTTCATTATGGCACAAGCGATTAGGTTATCTCCCAAATTAGAATCGAAAAGCTTGTTTCAGAAGGAAACCTTGATCCCCTAGAATTTTTAGACTTTAATGTTTGTGTTAATTGCATTAAGGGGAAACAGAGAAACATAAGGAGATTAGGTGTTAATAGAACTCGAATGTCTAATAACTAATACATATGAATATTTGTGAGTCATTTCTTTTGACTTCTTGGAATGGTCAACGGTCATTTATTACGTTCA